GACAACTACCTCTCTCTCTCTCTCTCTCTCTCTCTCTCCACTTCGGCACATTCGCTTTTCCCTTTTCCCGTTTATATCTCTTTGTTTCTCTTTGTTTAGGCAAATGCCATTTTCGGGCTCTCGTACGGGTTCTCCCGATCCACCGGTTTGATACTGGTACGGTACACGAGCGGGTACCGCGAGTACCTATGTACGTACGTAACGCGCGCGTGCACGCGTTTAACGGATATTTGTATACAAACAAACATACGGTACGGTATATAGCTGCGCAGCCGCAGGTACATACAAAGACACACGACACACATATACATACGTATATACATACACACGTACATACATCCCGATCAGCAGACAAAAGGATCAGATGTGCGTCGGAGCGGGTGGGAGGGAGAAGAGTAGGTGGCGAAAGCAGGAGGGGCAGGAGGAAAGAAGACGAAGGAAGGGAAAGGGAGATAGACGACGGAGGCAGAAAACACACATATCGCAGGTGCAATAGCGCGCGGAGCGAAGCGACGGGGACCCTCTTGGGTGTAACGAACTTTTTTTTTCTTTTCCTCCCTGCACTCCTTTCTTGCCGGACCCGTGGTACGTGGTGGCTTACATGTTAATTCTCATGCGATATACACGGGTGGTATTCTTATCGTGGAAGCGAACCGTCGTGCCTGTCTGCCTGCCTGCCGCGAGACAAAGGGAGGAGGGAAGGCTTAACACGCCAGGCGGCGACGGCGGTGATTCTCCGCTAAAGGAGAGCAATGCGTATACAGTACATCTAAAAAAGAAAAAAAAAGAAGCCCGCCGGAGAACGGTATCTTGGAATTTATTCCACCGACTCCACTGGAAAAACGCGTCGTGCAATGTCGACGAGTGCCGAGGAGCATCCTATAGGGGCGATACAGCGTCAGAAGAGTGAAGAGGAGGTTGAGGAAAAGGGGAACTCCGAGAGAGCGTGGAGAAGGACAAAGAGAGAGCGGGAGGGAAAGCCGCGTATACAGAGAGACAAAGAGAGCGATCAAGAGAAGCCAGCAGAGTACAGACGGCAAGGGAAGAAGAGTGCGATGTTTTGTGTGTGTGTGTGTGTGTGTGTGTGTGTGTGTGTGTGTGTGTGTGTGTGTGTGTGTGTGTGTGTGTGTGTGTGTGCAAGTATGCGTGTGATATGGGAGGAGAGAGGGGAGTGTAAATAGAGACAGACATAGAGCGCGCGTCCGAAATTTCGGTGGGAAAAATTCCTACCTTTGGAGCCACGGGGAGCAAAGTGTATACTGCGGGGCTCACTCTTTTTTTTCTGTCTCTCCCTTTCTCTCTCTCTCTCTTTTTCTTTTTCTCAGAGCGACGTCATTGCCGTAGGCGTAGCTGACGCTCGAGTCGCGGCCATTTAATATAACGCAGCGTAGCGATATAACGCTCCGATGAGAAAAACCGACCGACTATCGGTCGGCGGCGGCGACGGCGGCGGCGGTGGCGACGGTGGCGGTGGTAGCGGTGACGGTGGCGGTGGAGGCGGCAGCGAGCAGCTCACCACTAGTAACACCGAGGTCGCTTCATGTCCCTCATCGTACGGTGAGCGGTCGTGCCTGCTGCTGCGGCGACCCCGCCCATTCGAATCGTCGGGGCCTCGCAACACGGGGCCCCGAGACACGGTCGCGCCTGCACGGCGCCGAAATACCTAACCGTACGAGACGTCGGGCCCGACCCGCATCAAGCACTGACCGCCGTGACACCCGCGCCCGATTTCAATGTGCGCCCGTGACGAGGCACGGCGCCGACCACGACTCGCCGCCGCCGACCGTCTATCTCGCTTTCCCTCCCCCCTCCCTCCCCCGCCCCGTCGCTCCCTTTTCCCCTACCATTCGCCAGTTTCTCCGCCGTTTTCCGCCAGAGACGGATTTCGGACGATAACCAGAGATTGCGCCCCGAATCGAATGCGCGAATATTTTTATCGATAGCCATTTCGAACGTGTCAAGCTGTCCCAGAGTGAGATGGAGAAATTTGTTCGGTTTTATAATTCAGACTTATGATTTTGACGATTTTTCGATTTTCGATAAATGATTAAAGATAACACTAGATTAATTCGATTAGGGTGCCGGATGTACATGAAGACGGAGCTGCGCGTGATGGTATTGCGTTAGCAACTTTATCAACGTTTCTCCTCATGACGTCAAGATCATCGCGAACTTTCGACGTACAATTGCGATCCGGTAGTAGCGCCACTTGCCGGTTCCAGAAAAGCGAAACGGCAAGATGGTCGATATTGACGAGGAGATATGTTGAAAGTGATTTTTATGAAAAGAAAGAAATTAAATAAAGGAGACAACGTTTTTATGCTTGGCTACTTTTCGTCATATTAATTATTATTTATCCAAGTAGACAGAAATTTTCGAGAGATATATTTTACCGGCTAACAATGAATTAATTTTTAAAATCGAAGATGAACTTAGGTGGGGCGTTGCAAACGCGATTTATGAGATTGTATCGAAATAATTAGGTTTTTATAATTAATCAATATAATTCAAAAATAAAAATCGCTAAATACTTTTCATATGCAAAAGCAAAATAAAAATATACTGTTTGATACCTGTAGTGTAGATGCCAATCCTATGACAAATGAAGTATTAACAATGAGAGTGCGCTGAGTTGTTTGTCGCTAGAATTTCTATAATAAAAATGAAGATAACAAGGTTTTTGATTGATTACTTAAAGTCCAAATTTCTATTTATATAGATTAAATTTAATCTCGAATTAGCTTTGTATCTTATTTAATTTCAAGAGTTTTTCTACATTGGTAGGAATACGAACATAAATTCGACATATGTATCAAGCAACGATTTAAAAAACTTTAATTAAATTATTTTAAATTATTTTAAATTATTTTAAAATTTAGAAAACATTCTTTTTAGAAAAAAAAAGCATAAAGTTTAACATCGAAAAGCGTACAAACCATCGATCTTCGCTACTAAAAAGACCACAAATTTTCTTTTTGTGATTACGCGTCCAGCAATAGTATCCAACCTGATGATGAAAAATCAATGTCGCCAACATTAATTTATCCGCATATAGCAGCGCTGTATTTTTCCCTAACCGCAGAAATTCTCGTTGCCGCGAAACGTTGGCACTCCTGGCGCGAGGCGTCCGCGTCGTCCCGTCGTCTGCATCGCGCGAGTGTCAGTGACAGCTGGCCGGGATGGCTGCTCTTGGGTTTTTGTTTGGTGTTATCGGCCCTCGACGTTAAACGCTCGGTATTTCTCCCGCTGCAACTCGTTACCGCGAGTGACGTGGCGTCCGGTAACGAGAGTACGCGCGATGCCGCGATGTCTCGTACGGCGCCGTGAGCGGTCGATCGCGGCCGAAGCGGGCGATCGAACGTCCTCGTTGACGCCGTACTCGTGCGGCCTCTGCTCGCTCGGCCACCTCTCGAAACTTCGCCCCGAGCACCTTCCTCGCGCACCCTCTCGATCGCGCCTCTCGGCGTCCGTCGTCGTCGATGTAACTGCCGCGATCGAACGATCGCGTCGATCGTCGTCGTCGTCGTCGTCGTCGTCGTCGTCGTTGTTGTCATCGCTGTTGTCATCGCTGTTGTCATCTCCGTAGCTGTCATCGACATCCAGTGTTCCGTGACAGTGACCTAACTCGATTTCACGGGCGTCTGTGAATTTGACTTGGCTCGACTCGATTCTCCAACGTTTTTGATCGTGAAAAAAAAAAGAGAAAAAAAAACGAATCTTCATTATTTGGAGTCTCTTCTCGTCGGCGCGCGTCTTCTGGGAGACCGCGTCTCGCATCGCTCGCGAGTTACGACATCGAATTTTCTAGGGATTTTCCAGCGATTTTCCGACAGCGGACTCAATGAGGGAGGATAAGTCCTTGATTAATTTTCCGTCGACGAAAAATCGCTTAGAATATCGCGGACAGCCGATACCGTAAATACCGAGCCCGTTCGCGAATTCACATTCGACGAATCCTTTTCGAGCAGTGAGCCTTCGCGGATGAATTGTTTATGACAGTTCAGCTGCACGGTGAGTGGCCCTTTAAAACGTCTTTCCGGCTGTGAAATGCGACGCAAATCAAGTGAGGAGCGCATCGCGCTGATAAAATGATATTCTATTGGTAAATATATTTTTGTAGGTTCCCTATTTATAGACCTATTTATAGCGAAAATTCATAATCTCCGATCGTATTTCCCGGGAATTAATTAATTTTACTTACTCATTGATTTTATCCCGCATTAGTTCGTCGTAGCTATAATTTTTTGCTCTTTTAACGGAACATCGATTTTACTTTCTTGGCTTGTTGTAGCTATTATTTTTTATCGTTTTTCTAAACGGGATGTATCGGTTTATTATACAATTATTCAGTTCAAGTTAAAGTTAAAGTTGTACGAACATCTGCTGGAGATCGATAAGTAATTTCTTTTTAGAAGAATCTTTTTTTTTTATTTAGCTTATTTTTATTTTTGCACCTCGCAAAGTTTAATATTATAATTATCTATGAATTATATTGTCTTTTTTAGAAAAAATATATGAATATATCTCGAATCTATGTCTTCAAACGTTTTATTTTTCTAACATTGTGAAACTTATCAATGAATTTATATTTTGCAAAATTTGCTACATTGCAAATATTAAATAGATATCAATTATCATATTTGGAGCTATTTCGGATATTATATTCGTAAATCAGGGAGGATGCAAAAATTTCCGTGTAAAAGAATATTTATGTTACTTGTGGAATAAATTGACGTGTTGATATTTAAAACAACACTCGAGATCGTAGAAAATTTAAAGAAAAAGAAATTGACATTTAATAAGTGAAAAATATCACTTAAAAATTAAAAAAGAAAAAGAAAATGGCATGAAAAATACTTAATTGATGCTTCTCAAACGATCTTTTGAGAATTCAATGTTATACCTTACAGAGGAACGAAAAGACGCCAAGAGATGTGAGAAGACTTAGCTCGGTTGACAATTGTCTCGCGTTTCAAAAACAAGGATCTTACCGGAGAAAAAAAAACAGGACAAAGGGCAACAGCAAATTCGGCATGATCCGTGGCAGAAGTAGAATCCACTCGAAAATATTAGGCGGGGTGGTGGAGGCATGGAAGCCGAAACTGGCCAATCGTCTCTTCAGAGGCTCTACAGGAGCACCTTGCCATCACCGGGAATACCCGGATTAGACGTCATACGAGCCCTACATCAAGTACGACACATTTGCTTCTTTATTTCATGCATTTGTCCGTCTATTTTTTTTAATTCGTTGTGTACTTTTGATGCTGGCAACAAGTTTTATCATTTTACATATATAGTAAAAAAAAAAGGATTAATTCTTGAAATAATTATCAACTTTACAATTGATAATAAAAAAATTTATATTTGTTAATTTATATAAAAAATTATTTAATTGTTATTTATTGTTAAAATTAAATTAATTTATGTTGAACATTTTTTTTTAGATTTTTAAGCTATAACAATTTCTTGTTGTAGACCAGATGTAGATCAGATTTCGTCGGTCAAATTCTAATTATAGAATATCTCTCAAGAAAAGAATATGTTCTTTTACTTATTTACCTTTATTTATTTATCATAGATTATATATTCAAGGGAATTTTATTGAAACGTATAACGGATTAGAATTTTATGATTGTTTTCACGGCTATATACCTCGCGTCGAGATAAAAAGTTTCCATAGCTTGGCTTTGTGATGCAGACAGTCGTATCGCTGCGTTCAGCTTTAGACTCGTCACGCGAGGAGCTCCGTCGATTGCAGGAAAGCGTCGGGAATTTTTCCGGCGAGAATTACGTCGATGCAGTGAGTCGTCTAGCCCTCGAGAATCACGTACTGAGGCGAAGAATCCTGAGCAGGAGTTGTGAATTTTCATCTGATGCGGCAACCAGCCCGCTTCAATCGAAACACGTTCGACTCATCGTAAAAGCTCATATGGAGTAAGCAAAACATGATTTAGTTAGCACAGCAAGTAAACTTTAGATTTAATCGATAAATCAACAACAAACTCACCGAATTTTCCTATATTACAGTCAATCGACGGATTCTGAGAAAACTATCATGGAGAAAATCGTTACCGATGCCCAGAATGATAATCAACCAGCTCCTGGACATAGCGAGACTAGCAGTAACAAAGATAGTCCCGATCCGCTTTCTCATTCTAACCGATCCGACAAGTTCCAAGATTCATCGAAATCCTCGAAAATTACCAAAGGCACGATCAGTACGAAGATTATTGAGGCAACACCGACGATGCTAAATGTTTCCCAAAATGAGAATCGCAAATCTCCGATTTTGACAACGAACGCGACTAATAAGGAAGAGGAAGAATCCCGAGAAATCTCAAGTAAAAGACAATTGAATTTTTTCTGATTTATAAATATACCAATAATATAAAAAAATAATGTATTAAAAGTTATTAAAAATATTACTAAAATTACTAAAATTTATTTAAAAAACATTTTTATTAAAACATTCTAGATGTATTGTGTTTTCATTGTTCTAGGTGATGTGATTAATATGGATCATTTAGATATTCCTGATAAGGACCCTGAAGATTTGAGTTTGAAATCCATTTCTGACGGCGACAATTCCGTGTTCAGCGATCACGTAGATCAATCTCAGGCACCTCGACAAAGTCAGCCAGGTGATTCGCCAAGACCAAACGAACATTCGGAAAACGAATCGGAGGAATTAGATGATATCGAACTGATATTCACAACAGACGAAACTTGTCGCGATCTCGGCCTGCAGGAGGACTTGGTTTCCATTACGGAGACAGAAACCTGGCAGCACGCAAGTGCTGGTGGCGGTCAGCCTGTCCTACTTAAGTACACAAAGTCAGCGGACGGTGAATCATTAGTTTGCAACGACGAAAAAACTAGCTCCGTCGAGGAAGCCGTCTCTTCGCAGAGTTCCAGCATCGATCGCGAGGAGAGCGTCGACAGGTTCGACGAAAGCTCCAGTACCAGGCTCAATAAGATGTGGTCGCAGTGTTCTGTCCTGGTTGAGACTGATATTAGTAAGTGCGGTGTATTGGAAGATGCAGAAAATACAGCGGGATCGTCTTTGCGACATACCGCTAGAAGAAATACCCTAGCCGCCCCACCGACGGCTTACAGGTTTGTAATATTAAATAATAATATTAAATAATTCACTTTAAGAGAAAATTTTTTTACAAGCTTTACGAAATTTATAATCTGCGATATCTATGTAATTATTTATATTTTCCATCTTAACAGCTATCGTTGATTAATTTCCAATTAAATTCTTTAATATATGTTTTTTACTGTTATACTTGACAGATGTATTATTATTTTTTAGACCTATCATTCATCGAGAAGCTCTAGCTAGTAGTCGAAGAAAAAATTCTGCTCCGTTGCGACCGGTGATGGATCGTAGTAGCGGTGCTCGACGAGAATCCGGTGCTCAGACGGATATCTCCGCGCTTCCGGCACAATGGCGATCCGAGAGCTATCTCGCACACAAAGTTGCGCATACTTTTACAACGTTACCAAGTAAGTTCGCGCTACCAACGGGAGTGCCTGGTCGATTAAGACTGTCGGATAAAACCCGAGAGGCTAGAAGAGTGATGTTGTCAGACATCAGCTTCACTAGCATGGTACCAGAACTATCAAGAAGCGCGGATCATCTGTGCCATGATCCACATACGCAGGTGAGACTAAAATATAAAAATTAACTGTAATGAGAAATGTAGTTAGAAATAAAAATTGTTAACAACACATATATTACCCATTCACGTGATAAATGTGGCGCATATTAAATGGGAATGCGTAACAAATATTTTCTCAATATTTTCTCTATTTCAGAGTTTAGTGTTTGAAAATAATAATTTAACTCAAAATTTACTTACAGCATTAGGATTAAGAGTGAAACTTTTGTTCAAAAACTATGATTTGTGGAATTAAAAATTATAATACATAGAAGTAAATTTTAGAATCTAAAAGCATCGCAAAGCGATTAAAATCAAGAAAAAAGAAGAGAAAAAAAAGGAATAAATTTTTTTTTAGACGTGTTTTAGTTCGCGTGGCTGCGGTCTCCGTACGCCAGAAGTCCACAGGCGCGAATCCCTGGGATCTCCCGCGGGATTCTGGCCTCGTTGCAATCCCGCGACGGGACTACCGAGTCCCTGCGACTGTCGACTATCGACCGATCTCTATCCTTCACGATATCGCGGCTCTCTAACGTCGATACCTTCACCTGGTCTCGAAGTTGTCGGCGGTCCTCCGCGAAGGCATTCCTGGAGAGCGACAGCGGCATCTTTCGACACGTGGAGAGTCCCAGTTGCGACTTCCACACCACGTCCAACGTGGTCTTCGATGCCTTCTTCTCCAACACATGTACATCCCCCGTCAATCTCTTCAAGAACTTCAAAAAACGCACCAAAGAGAACGCGATCCAAAGTGACTTTCCAAGGTACAGTATCAAAAGATGCGATAATGCGCAAAGAAAATATTTGAAAAGAAGGATTCATAGAATAAGTTTAAAATGAAAAAAGATGATCGTCAATTTCCAGAGTGTCCAATGACTCGTGGTAGTTTGCCCAATTTGCGTTCGGATTCGGTCGGCGGTGAAAATAGCGGCGACTCTACCGAATCATTGATCGACGAAGCCGAGGATTATCTTCGGCGAAGCATCGATTCTATGCTAACAATATCGAGTGCCAGTACTGATTATTGGAGCAAACAAACGGCGAGGCGAAGACGGGCGCGAAGGCATTCGGAGCCGGATTTGATTCGTGATTGGCATCCTCCCCAGGACGCTAAGCCATATTTACCAAAGGTATTGTTTTGTTTATAATTTTTTACATTTCACTTATTCACTTATTCTCGATTTAGATTCTCAGTATTTTAGATTCATAATTCTCGATATTTTAGATTCATAATTGTGCAAATTTTTTATTTGTGTTCAGATACCAAGAGATCTCAAACTGGATCATCTCGTAAAGGTCATATCGCCAGAGGGCAAAGTTCTCCAAGGCCGTGTGAGATACGTAGGTCCCGTTCCGGGTCGAGAGGACACGCACGTGGGCGTGGAACTGCCATATGTCAATGGTTCATCCGACGGTACTTTCCACGGCAGAAGGTTCTTCGATTGGTAAGCTTGCAAAACTATTTTTAAAACGCGAAATATTTCGCAAAATATCAATTAGAAGATTAAATGTTTTTTCTAATTAAAAATTGTATTGATAAGAAAAAGAATATAAAGAATTCTTTTGAATGTAAAAAAAACTATTAAGTCAAATTAATTCCTTTTTTGCTCTAAATATAATTTTGACACACTCAAAATAATTTTTTTATTTTTAGTATTTCTGGATTATAGTGTTAATTTGAAGCAGGGCATTTAAATGTATAATTTAATTAGAATATTTAAACAATTTCATTATTTGCTTTCATCAAGAATAAATGTGTTAACAGTGAGCCAGATCGAGCAATCTTCGTCCCGTTCAAAAAGGTAGTGCTTGCCTGGTGTATCACCTGACCCGAGGCACCGACCTCTATGGTTCCCCCTCGTATTCTACTCTCTCAGTACACCATGTAAGAGAGGAATTGAATAATATGTAAATCATAGTTACGAATCTCGGAAGCTAGCTAGTCTCTGGTTAGCGAAATCAATGAGATAAGTCAGAGACTGTTCTTAATCTGTGGCAATTCTACCACTTTATTATTCCGATATGGAATCGTTAACATGTTAAGCTTGTCGAAATTAAAAAAGAAAGACCTTTGGACACAAGTGTAATAGTAGCCAAAGTATATATAAAACTTGTTATAAATCGCATCCATGACATTTGGTGATTCTTCAATGCGAATGTTCAACACGCAACAGCGAGCATTATGTGATCATAAATATATGTATGTACTAAATGTATATACATACACGTACATCCAGTAATATACTAATCAACTCTGTTTGTGTGATATATTCGACAAGCGAATTATCGCCATTAGCTAGAAAGATAGCAGCGATGAATTTCGCTATATCAATCGTCTTATTGTATCTGATTTTTTTATGAAATGGAAAAAAGAAAAGAATAAAGGTCAAAGTCGTAAGATCTCCTTGAGAAATTCAAATACATTGTCGTAAGTAGGTCTTTCGAAGATGAAAAAAGGAAAGAAAATAAGAGCAAGTAGTAACGACGAAAAAAAATCTGGAAATGAAGGAATTGAAATTTTGTAATGGCAAAATATAAAATGACAGATAGAATCAGACGTCAACTAGATTCCAGCAAAAATAATCAAAATTAATCGATAGTTTTTATCGATAACTAAGAGGCTACGTGCAGCAAACGCTGGTATTTCATTTCGTTGCGTGACACGCATTGCAATCGTATTCCACGTGAATAATATCGACAACGATGTTTGCTTGCCGCGATATTGTAATGTTAAGTTGTTAAGGGATTGCATTCCTTGTTCAGAGAGAAAGAGATAAATTTGTTATTTTGGCTACTCTGCGATCGATTAATTATTATTAATACACACATCGAGAAAAGTTTCGCCTCTTGCCCCGTTTTTATGAATCTCTCTTTATATTAAGGAAATCATTTTACTCGTATAATAAAGTTCACCAATTGTTTCCACCAATGCATAATATTAATATTACTGACGCTACTTTTTCGTCAGATAAATAAATGTGCAATTTAATCGATGTAAAATAAGATTACAGTTCAAAACTTTTTTTCGATGTGCGTATTTTTGACTGGAGCTAAAAAAAATAGAGATAAAAATTGTCCGTACATTCATAAATATTATCAAATTTGTTATCAACTTAATATCTCCGCGCATTGCTTACGAGCTTTCGATGAGCAAATACTTTAGTGTACGTATGTATATGTATTTTATGTATATGTATATCTCTCTGTACATTTTAAAGAGACACGCGTATATAAAGTGTGGGCACTACACTTGACTGTATAAATACAAATATAATCATATCTTGAGGCTGTATCTATTGTCTTATGTACTGATGAATCCAACATTCTTGGTTTATTCGCACAGCGATAAGAATCGATCGACCGATCGTTCTATCGCTGAATTTTTAAATCCTGGATTTTAGATTAGCGATATCTAGCTGAATATTAACATAAGAACGACAAGATGTCAGTCTCCCTCGCTATTTATTGTATTTATCGTAACAAGTACCAGAAAAAAATAAAGAAAACTCGATCACAAGGTAAGCTACATCATCTTCCTCATGGAAACCTTTCTTGAAACTTTGATATATATATATCGAACTTGCTTAGAGAAGAGAGTTATATTTTTTACATAACTTAAATTTCTGTTTCTTTTTTATCGTCTAGATTTCCAATAGTTTCATTCGTGCAATCTTTGCTATTGTACATTCATTATACATTACTTTTAATTACTACTAATTAGCAGTATTTCATGATGTTCTGCGCTTTCCTCGATTTGTCTCGGTAAAGTCGAGAAATTATAAACGATGAGCCGGGTAATCAGCGTACCAGCTGAAGGCCCCGTTGGAGCCGGTATGTCCTCCAAAATCGACGAAATCTAGGATACGCGTGGCTGAACGTTCGGAACGTTGCACCTCGGAATCGTCCTGATGAGAAATGCCGGGTACAGCGACTGGTACGTACGCTTCCGTTTGCCTGGTCACCCTTGATAACGAGGGTACAATCGGATTCACCTCGATAACATCGATACCATCGACACCGTCGACGGGAATCGCGATGTAACGTCGACCTCCTAGTACACCGCAAATGGCGCATAGCAACATTAATGTGATACTCTAAAAAAGAAATATCAAACGATAATTTTTTCTTGTTTAATATCTACTTTAATAGTTTCGTAATTTAATAGTTTCGAAATCAAAGATAAATGATTTCATAGCTAATATAACTTCAGGTTTCGTAAAAATGAAAAGAGCCAATAAATTCTTAAGCATGTATAACATATGTAGTATTTATTTTAAACCATATTATAGAATATTTTTTAATTACTAATTAGTTTTTAATGTGGTAAATGTATAATCTAAAATACTTTTTAATATAATAAAAAAAAAAAAAAACAAAAGATAATCGAAACTAATCAACTCCAAATTAGAGAAATATATGCATTAATTTGTTTTTTATTATTTTCTTCCCGCGAAGAGATACCTTAAAAATAAACACAAATATATTATTTACCAAGTTATTCATCGTCCTTGTGGTGAAGTAAACAAGAATTGAAGTTGTTGAACTAAAGAGAGGAGCTCCATCGTTGCCGTTTTATACGTTTCGCTTCGCCGCAGCTTTCTAGTCTCTCTGGAAGGAACCGACAATTATTTCTGGCTACTTCTTGCACCATGTTTATCCCATCGCGAGTCAATTGTCGCGCTAGACCGTCACGACCGCGAGCTGCTGAAACGTGCAGTGGAGTCCTCGAAAAAAATTGTTATATCCTCCTTGCCGAGTCACGCCTGGGCACTTTCGATCTTCTTTCAACTGAACTTTCGATTACCTTTTCTTTTACCGCGTTTTTCCTCGTAATTCGCCGCGGCTTACTTATCGATTTGTCTATGCGTTTGTCAATGATTTAACAATAAGAATAACAAATTTTGAAAAAAATAGTTTTATTTTTACATGTATTAGTCTCTATTTTTAAATTGACAAATCTTAATTTTTTCATTATTATACTTGTTCAGTCGTATTCAGTCATCTTCAATTTGAAGAGTTTAACTATAAAAATTATAAAATTAACTAAAAATCATTATAAAATATAATAGAGTACATTTTAGATTACACAGTCTTTTTATATCATTTTTTTGTCATTTTTTTATATCATTTTATTATATTTTAGTATAATAGTACGAGATAGAACTTACGCAACTATTAACATACTAAATATTATATCATTAAACAAGTTATTGAAGTAAATTTTATATTTAATCTTTATATTATCTGTATGCTTAAAATATTTAAAGTAAACAAAAATTATACCATTGCAATGTAACTATTCAACTATTTCGTATATATTTATTTTTAATACGTTGATGCAAGTTAAAAGCAATATAAAAATATAAAAACAAAAAGTAATATTAATATCTCTTAATATCTCTTAATTCTTTAAAACGTAATTTTAAATCATTGTGTAAAATTAAAGTAATATAATTTACTTCAATTATCATAAACTTGTGAGCCCACATACATATAATGAAAATTGCATCGAGATTTTATATGAATTTGAATATTAAATTACATATAAATGTTATATTTAGTTTATTTTTATTATGTTTATTAGTTTATAAGTTCATAGAAATGTATCTTTAATGATTTAATTTTTGTATTAAAGTAAAAAAGAAAAAATTTTAATATTGATTATGGTTTACTTGATGTTTCTATGAATTTGAGGTAGTTTACACACGCTTTACACACGTTAACAGACGCTAGATTTCATTTCATACAACTACCATTCAAATTCATGTAAAATCATCTACCCGTTTATATAGTACTGTATAATCGCAACCGATATTAATCTTTTTTTCTCTGAATAGAAGACTTTGTCACTTTGATTTTTTTTCAGCATTTTTATACTTATATGTTCAATTGGTTGCTTAGATTCCTAAAAAAAAATTACGAAATGAAAAGAAACGCATCATTTATGTGATCAACATTTATGTGATCAAAATATGAAATGTAAAAACATACAAAAACATACAAAAATACACTATTAAACTGGAATCTTTACCATCGCAAATCGAGTTCGTATCTATAAAAAAAATTTAATGCTATTTATGTGCTAATTTGCTATTGCTCTATTCCGAATTTTGTTGCTCCAACCGGGGGTTCCAGTTTAATAGAAGTAAATACAATACACGCATGTGTGCATGTATTTAAAAAGAATGCATAAAAAGAATAAATTCATTGTATATTTAAGATCATTTACTTTAGTCTAAATTTTATTTTGCTTCTAAATTCTATAATTTATATTTTTTCTATAATTTATATTTTAACATGGAAATTTGACTTTTGATATGATGAGAGAAATATTCTTACCTTATTTGCTAAATTAGTCCTCCAAATTAAAATTGTCTTCATCATCAATTGTCATGAATTCTGAAGCACATTTAATCCAGATGAAACGAATCGGGTAAATATGGAAGAAATAGAAAATCGCACTTTTCACGAGGTAATGCAGAATTCACTGCCAAAGAGATCTCTTCCTCAACTAAAGCCATTCCCAAACGTACCAATTTATCTCCAATGTTAATCTCCTGTGATAGTAAGAGAATTTATAAAATTTTGAAATAAGCACATGTATGATAGAAATATGTTTTCTAAGAACAAGTTCTTCTTTTAGAGATTTTTGTAGATCTTTATACTTTTTTGTCTCACCTCATCATTATTCTGATAGAACAGTTCGACTTGAGGAATCATTGTCTTTGGACGACGAGATCCTCCGTCACAGATTAAACGTTCTTTGTAGCCTCGAACTTTAGCAATAAGCGGTATCCATTTTGTTGCATGAGCAATTTGGGCAAACATATCTATAGCTTCAGGATTCCACTGACCTCCTCTACAATAAAAATAAGTTTCATTGAAAGCGATTGATAAATCGCGTAAATCATTAATCAAACGATTAATCAATGAGATATCGATTTACCGCGGCTTCACATTTGCTAGTGAACACTCCACAGCCTGCTGTCGTAAGATTAACATGTCTGTACGAAGTTCTAATACATTATTTATAGAAACAATTTCGATATTTCCATAATCTACAAAGAAGATTTTGCATTGAGAAGACTCTTCCATGAAATTTATTACTTCCGCACGAAACCATCTTTTGTCATGTTTCAATCTAGCTGCTACCATTTGACCTGACACTACCTGGAATCAAAAACGTAAATTAATATTGTATAATTAATGATAATATATTAAATACATATAATTCTGTCTCTTTTTTTAGATTACTTAAAAAAATATTATATAATTATATAATATATTAAAGTTAACTCAGTTATACTCTTTCTCACTTACTTTTTTCAAGGCATGAATCTCGCGACTTTTCTTAGTGTTGTAATAAGCCGTCATAGAGTTTACCAAACGTTTTAAATTAATATTTCCAAGACCAATCACTTGAATCCAAAATCGATTTGGCGTTTCCATCGCAGATACATACACTTCCAGCGAATTACTCACTAATATAAAAATTTAACTATTAATACAGCATACGAAAATTGAACAAATTAATCAATTTTCATAAAGCAATATAAATTTATAAAAATTGATATTTCACAAATATAAATTTTTTTTATTTTATATACCTTGTTCTAATAAAGTCTTCGGAAATATTGTAAAATCGCAAAGATGTAAGTTAATGGCAGAATCACGTATATATAATTCAGCATCTTTAAATTCAAGTTCTTTCTCAAAGTCTATTTTACTGGGGTCTTCTACTTTCTTGCTAAGCATTACAGACATAGATTCATTCAATTCATCCGCTTTGTCTCTTATCTGACTAATAGCTTTCATTGATTGCTCTTTATTTCCTACTACTATTACTTTTCTTTCCATTTCTATAAAAACATAAACATAAAAATTATCGCGATTATTATAATAATATTACATAAAATTATAATATAAAATTCTTAATATAAAAGATAATTTAAAAAGAATTAGTTATATCATATTTAATAATAAAATAAAAATAAATATAATTAAAATAAAACATAAGAGAAAATGTCAAAGTAATACATACGCTCATATTTCTTGGAATCCATTTCAACTGCGATTTTCGCACCAGTAGATTTTTCTATTTCCTCCACTGTGTATCCATACTTTCCTATGATTTTTTTGCAAACTGGATATGGCACTAGTAACAAATACTTCTCAATACGGCCATCTCTGATTTTCCCATCACAATTGTTTTCAACATTTATATCAACACTATCATCATTATCACTATCACTACTACTATCACTATCACTACTACTATCATTATCACTACTACTATCATTAATACTATTATTACTGTCATTATTATTATTACTAAGAGCATCATTATCATTATTAACATCATCTTTATTATGATCATTACGATCTTGATTATGACGTTTAGGCTTGCTTCTTCCGAACGCTATTAATTTAGAGTTCTCCGACATCATATATTTAAAGTGAGCTTGTAACTCGACTTGATATTTAATTTTATTTTCTATTTGAACGACGGCTGGTGCTATTTGATCTGCAGTTCCTGTTAGTACAAGCTTTGCTTGTCCTTCATCTGTCATCAAAGAAAATATTGGTACAATTATGATAATAATTTTACTACATTATTACATATTCAATATAATAAAATATATATACTTCGTAAAGAACGAAAAGATGTATTCATAATTTTAAGTTTTAGACCATAAGATTTTTGTATTTGTGCAAAATATTCATGGTATTTCCATCTAGAGAATCCTGTGAAAGCTTCAAACGGCACTAACAATTCAAAAGTTTCAATGGGAGGTCTATTGTTTATAACTGTATTTATTTTTTGGCTTGCCATGTTAATTTTTTTAGATCATCACCCCATATAGTACAGACACGTTCCCCAAGACATGAACTTTTTTTTCTATTTTGATGCGTGTGTCAGTTGTCCTTTCTATACTTTTGATTATAGAACCATCTTTACCAATAATATCAGGTATATAATCCTGGTGAAATGTAACTTTTGAACTCAATTGTTTGGATTTTGCCGTTACTATTTCAACATGTTTCTTCTTCTTATCATCATTCTGCAATGCAATATTAATATTATTAAATAAAACAAATTTCATACAACATATATAAATAATTATAATTAAAAAAATGCAATATAAAGAAATCTTGTATGTCAAGAAGTATAAACTTTACCTCTTCAAATGAGGAATACAATAAAATTATAACTGATACACCAAAAAGTTGTCAAAGATATACCAAATAAAATTGGCAATACAGACTTTGATATCCATTTCATCTTTTTAGCAAATTAAAATAATATATTTGTCATACAATCTGTAACAATATTAAACCCTGTATAAAAACTTTAACCTTATATAAAACTTATTATTTGTAATACATATTTATAATATATATTTACAATTAAATATATAATAAAATTATATTTTAATAAATTGTAAAATTATTTTTATATTTTTCTTTCATATAATATGCAACAATGTTAAATATAAAAAATTTATTTTAAGAAAAATATATATGTTTAATTATATAATTAAATATATGATTAACAATTTATATATTGAAATTTATATATATATATATATATATATATAATTAATTATATTTAATAACTAGTAAAGAATCAAATACAAGGCACAAATCACAAATTATAGGTGTTCATGCAATACAATTATTTTTTTAAATATTTTCTCTAAATATTTTTAAGAGAATATTTAACACCATGTAATAATTATTACATATTATGTGGTTATTGTCATAATAATTATTATAATATATTATTATATAAATAACATTTAATTTTATAAAAAATTCAAGAAGTAAAAACTATTTTTTAAGTCATTTTGTCGACTATACAATGTATATAACTTTTTTAATATACTAAACTAGAATGCTACAAAAAAGATTACAAAGAAAATATATTTGATATTTTGAGGTTTTCACAAAATTGGATATCATTTATAAAAATTTGAAAAAATAATTAATGTACTACATTTTCGTTATTATTTCTATTAAAAATATAAAAAATAACAATTTTCATCCAACTTAAACTGTCTATTCTATATATCTTTTACTCATTTAAAGCCTATGAAGTCATACTGATCTCGTGACTGAAAAAAAAAAATAAAATTTATATATTTCTTTCAATGACAGTACATACATAATTATATTCTTGGCGTAAAAAAATTGACGTTAAATTAATTAAAAATTATACGTTTTATAAAATCTAAGTTGACTTGCCCACCTCGTCACCTGCGAAAGTACACGCGTAAAAAATAAACACCGGATCTATATTGTTGACGAATATATTACGGATTTAGCGATTACATCAGTACACATGTTTACCTAAGTAAAATGGAATATAATACTCACTTAAAAGAAATCCAATCACTCAGATGTAATAAGATAAAAGGATAAAAATGTTACACTGTACCAGAACACCAAACCTTCCTCAAGCAGTACGATGTGAACAAATTGGAACAAAAACGCTTTTCGGTTAACAAAGCAGTTAACCTACTCGCTACATAATTGAATGTGATTGGTTCTTGCTTTTAGAGCTGACCAATATCGAAATGCTTCAGTATGAATCGGCCGGTGTGTTACTGGCGATTCCAGTGCCGCTTTTTTATTTTTGCGCACGCGCAACATTTTGGAGTCAGCGGTCGGAGGTTGGTTTCACTTGATTTAACACTCACACATTCATGAGCGTCCTTTATATTTATTTACGTCTTTTCACGTTTATGTATATTAGCAGTAATGTTGATATATTTTATATTTGATAATTTATTTATAAAATTAATTTTAGCAGAACTAAATACTTGATTTTCCTCTTATTAGTTTATTGGTTTTGTCATTTGTCTTGTAATATTCGATAAAGAATAAAAATTACCGATTCTGGAAACCTACAAGAAACATAAATACTAAGCAAATTCGTTAATCAGTTGAAAATTGTACAAAACATAATTATTATTTTAAAATTCTTGGCTATAATAGAGGTTTACTTTCCACTTAAGTATTATTTAAATATTATTTTCATTTTTTTATGTATTATTAGCTTTATTATTTTTGTTTCTCTGTTTATTTTTATGATCTTAGATTAATATTTCATTTGTTGTATTTTTTGAACGTATTGATTGGTTGTAAAATAGTGAAGATTATCAGATTTCCAAAAATTCCCTATTTTCTAGCCAATCAACATGTTCAAAAAGTTTGTTTTATGACAAATAAAATATTAGGTTTAAAGTTAAAAAAAATGTAAACAATATTTCGTCATCGACCAGATAAAAACAGTTTATCTTAGGAAATTTATATAATTATTAAAATTGAGCTGATTAGTTTACAATATAATATTAGTTTATTATTTTGATATTTCTTAGATAAATGTACATACAACACAAAGATTTGATTTTTTTATCGAAATTTAAGGCCGCCCATCTTTAATAATGTCTTATCTGTGCAAAAATAATTGATTAACATATGCATTTTTTAACAGTCGAAAGATTATTAAAATCATAAAAATATTATTAAATTATTTCAACAAGCCATAACGACGAAAAATACAATCCAAGTCACGTGCTCAGTAGTTTAAAATACGTATGAGATAAATCAATCTGAAGTAAGTCGCGAATTTGAATTTCAAAGACTACCTTCTTGTTATTAGGAGAGCATGATGCCAGTTGGTAAAGCAGCTTGCTTCACCTCGCATCTTCCGAAAAGCGCGAAATTTAAATTGAATTTAGACTATCGAAAATTCAGCGCATTCTTTTAATAATGTCAATTATTTGAGAATATCTCGCATATTCCAGCCTTCGTTATTTCTTATCAAGATACATCCTCCTGATAATACTTCGACGATATTTCACGTGACTTTCACGTCATTACTTGTGGCTTCAACGACGTTCGCAATTCTGCTTTCATGTCAGTCTATCTCAATGTCAATCTAATTATACTCCGTATCCCCAACGCGTGAAACATCTTGTCTGGTTATCTTCGTCGTATTATCTTTATCTCAAACCGGTTCACACCGGCGCGTGTAAATGAGAATTTTTCAGTCCACTTCAGGCGATGCGCGTTTCCTCGAGTGTTTGATATAGTCATCAGTTATCGATGAAAGTGTTGCATGCGCTGGAAGTCTACGCTATCGGATACTCGAATAGTTTTATTACATCTCGTTCAATTGTAATCAGGTGAGTGTGTGTGTGTATGTGTGAGTGTGTATGAATTCTCGAGCCGAAAAAATTAAACAAAAGACGACCGTTGGCATCAGTGCCGTTTCATCGCCAAGAGGAATATACAAAAATTATGTTAGCATATCCGTAACATTCACGAGCGATATTTCAAAAATTTTATGTACCTTTGTTTTCAGTTGTCTGACTTATAAATAGCGTAAAAAATGAATTCGCCGGCTCTGCCACGCGTTCTGGTGACTAGCAACGAAGCACCTGCACCCGGTATCAATCTGCTTCGCGCAAAGTAAGACATGAATGAATTCAGAAATATATAAAAATATTGGGCGACAGATTATTTATCGTTTATCATTGTTGATATAGTTGCAACGTCACTATTATACCGGCTACTGTGGGCACTCGAGACCAAGTGCTGCAAGCCCTCCCTGGACACGATGCTGTGTTTCTCGTTAATCACTATCAAGTCAATAATGAATTTCTTGATATCGCTGGTAAAAATCTGTGTTATTGATTTTGATAGAATTCTTTTTATCTCGAGAAACTCCACGATTAGGAAGCCATTTAAATTTTTACTTGAAATAAAATTTGTCTCACGTTTATTTAAAAAACTCGTAAAACTCGATTGAAATATTTTTATAAGTATCATGTCAATATTTATATATAAAATAATAAGATAAATCAATTTGTTTTAAGAAAACGTAGCTGTTTAAAAAAATGCGCAATATGTGAGACTGTACATTTTTTTCTTATAAAGAAAGGCAGCTGAAATTTTATTGAACGACAAATTTTAGTTTCCATTGTTTTTTAGGACCAAATTTAAAAGTCGTGTCGACGATGTCGGCCGGATACGATCACTTGGATGTTCCAGAAATTAAAAAGAGAGGAATCAAAATTGGACATACACCAATGGTACTATCCGCTGCAGTTGCAGAAATGGCCATACTCTTAATGTTATCTGCGGCAAGACGCGCTCATGATGGTCGCACGGCGCTAGAAAAGTAATTCATGTTTTATCGTATTTTAAATTATAATTTGTCAAAATTTTTGTTTGGAGAATCATCTGATAATCATTTGATTTAACAATATAAAATTTGTTTCTATCGTCTTTTATCAAATTGCTTAAATACAATAATATGTATACATAATAATACAATTAAGGAATGAAGTAAAAAGGTCATCACAATGGATGTTGGGACAAGAAATACGTGGTTCTACAGTTGGCATTTTTGGCCTTGGAAATATTGGTCAAGCAATCGTTAAACGGCTAATGGGATTCGAAGTAGGATGCTTTATTTATACCGGACATTCACATAAGAAAGCAGGTAAGAAAGCATGTTCACAATTTATCAGAAGATTAATAATCTTATTTTAATTTCTTTTAAAGTATTTTAGATATCTGCATTTTATATTTATTTAATATTAATTTTATCTGTTTTTTTTATCCGATACTATCAGAGTTGTATAAATTTTTTAAATTTAAATTACATTAAAGTTAATGGGCTATAAATGTAATTCAGTTATACTAAAAGTTACGTAAACAGAAATTAATTTAATTAGAAATTACATAAAAATTAAATTAAAAGTTTATTTTAAAAAACGTTATTTACATTAAATTATTTCCAATAAATAACTTTAATTATGCCCAATTCACGAAATCTTTTTTGATGTTTATTAGATTAACAGATTTATAGGATTATTGCCCCAAAAAATCTTCAAAAATTCCATTTAAAATACATAATATGATTCAGGTGATGAACTTGGGGCAATATTTGTCTCTCTGGATGAGCTTCTAACGCAGAGTGATTTTCTTGTAATTGCGGCACCTTTGACTAACGAAACCCGAGGACTTTTTAATGATGACACTTTTAATAAAATGAAAAAAAATGCTATCCTCGTGAATGTAGCTCGCGGCCAAATCGTCAATACTGATTCACTTGTGAAAGCTCTCCGTGATAAAAAGATATTCGCTGCTGGCCTAGATGTTACCGATCCGGAACCGCTACCAGCGGAACATGAACTTTTAAAATTACCCAATGTCGGTCGGTAATCACAATTTTTTATTTTTTTGTTATTCTTTTTTGTCATACATATCACATACTTGAATATATAATCAGAAAATCCATCAAGTTTTAGAAATGCTATAATTTCGAGATCTAAGGAATATAAAACTGTAATATATTTGGTATATTATAACTTACATGAGATACAAGATCACTAATTTTTTATTTCGATAATTGCAGAAATTGTGCCACATTTGGGCAGCGCAACAATCAAGACTCGTAATGACATGTCATTAATCGCAGCGCAAAATATCATCAATGGCCTTCAGGGCAAGCCATTGGTTTACAGTCTATAATAATAATTATCTTTCCTTCTTTTTTGTATATTCTTTATATTCTTCTATATATTCTTTATATAGACATCAAAAATGCCATCAAAAACAATGTTGTTTGTTCATACATGATTCAAATAGAAGTCTTTTTGATTGAAAAAGAACTAAATTGCACAAATGTAATCACTTGTTAAATTTTAATCTGTATTTGATTATTCATAATCAATAAATTAGCCATATTAGATAAATAAATACTTTCGCTAATACAAAATATTTAAATATTTATAAAAATGTTATTCGATTATTAAGTTACATTATTTATTTTGGAATGATTTTGTAGGTGATGTGTGAAATATTTTCAAAAATTATACAATTCCATTAATGTACTTAACCCTGTGTGTGATTCCATGCAATTTTGGAGACACATATTAGATATCTATATTTATAAGTCTTATACATTTCATTCTTTTTTTTATTACTATTTACCATTATTCTATATATCATTTTTACCATCAAACAGTTTTTTTACAGCAATTATTAATTCCTGTCTTCAAAACAATCATTCATTGTGACTACAAACGCGGAAAAAATTGAGCTATAAAAAAACTAAATTTTTCTCTCTCATGAGAAAGTTTTCAGATTTGATCTTTAAGTTTAATTTTCAAAAAATTCTTAATATTTTATTTATGACTTAATATAAATTGGAAAGTTACGACATATGTTTCATATGATTCATAAAAGATATGTATATTTTGTTTATAAACAAATGTTTTAACTTCAAGTATATCTGAATTTTTCAAGAATCTTTTTATAATAATTTTTTTATCTCAAAATATATGGAATTAATAACCATTACTTTTCAAGACACACTTGTCACATTAGAATACAAGCAAATAGAAACGTGAGAATGGATCTTTCATCTTTCATCCTTGAAAAGTGTATGTTTATGCAATACTTGCAATAACTCACAGATTTATATCTAAACAGTATTCAGCATTTATCACCCATAATGAACAACGGGTAACCATCAGGCTTCCACTACAGCATTTTTTAAACTACTTAAAATAGGATCAATCTTATTTTCCAACGATAGTACGTGGCCAGTGTTGCAATCATGACTAGCGATAAAGGTAACAACCAACGGTAATTTATTCATTTGGATTACCTGAAAAGTAAATAAAGAAAATTTTAAATCGTAAGAATAATCTCATGTGATAATCACAATAGTATATTTTATGCTATATATATTTATTATATGTTTTACCTGATAATTACTATACATGCATATAATAGTTTTATTTTTTCCAAGCCCCAATTTACTCCCCTGATCTGTAGCCATTCCAAAAGTAGATAAGAAACTAGCTCTTGTTGCTAATTCTGGTGCCTTTTCATTGGCTACAGATATAACAGGTACTCCATCCCTATCTGTAATTAAGATGCTATGCAAACCTTCTACATCGCACAAGAGTCCATAAAGAAATTTCTTCAATTCCTGAAATGATAAAATAGAATTTAAACAACATAAGAAATTTTATGTCTAATTTGTTTTAATTACTGAATTAAAAAATTAATAACGATGTAATTTTAAAATAATACTGAGAAAAAATTTGATAATCAGTGTAAAGATGTCAGATTTCATTAAAAAAATCAGTTTTGTCTACATGATTTGTCAACAATCTCATACAAATTCATAAAATCAATAACATCTAAAAAAGTAATAAAGTTAGTTGCAGAAACTTTAAAAATCATACGAAAATATAAATTAAAATGTTGATTATTGATGCAAAGAAATTATTGTGTAAATAAAACATTGTCAAAGATTTTTATGTAAATTTAAATAAATCTGAGAACCAACAAATTTGAAAATTTTCTTATAAAATTCCAAAAATCTTGATATATTAATGCAGATGTAATCAAAAGGTTTCATTTTCTATATTTTATAATAATAATAATAAATCTAACGTAATCTAATCAGCATGGAAAATGGAAAATTTTTGTCAATATAATCCATCTGCTCAATTTTTGGAGCATTTGCGATAGCGTAACAAGGAAAGATTTGATAAATGCACTTTACGTCTAAACAAAGCGTATAACCTCCAATTTAATGTAAAAAAATATGATAAATACAAATATAAAAACAAATAATTTTTGTGTTAAATAATTCAAAAATTAGATTGAAGGCATGATTGTTAATATCACCATCTGATGGCAGTCTTACAAAAAAAAAAACAAAGTAAAAATTGTTATTAAAATCATGTGCTGTATAACCTCGGCAAGACTCGAGGTTAGGCTTATTTAACCAAAATAAAAAAGATAAAAGTGCGATGCGTTTTACGGCGAATGTCCAACTTACAATCGTCATTCTTTTCAGGGAACGTGCGTGAGTTATAAACGACGGACGAGCGATAGGCTTAACTTTCTCGGACGCGCACAATTGACACGATCATCGAGCGTTATCACCTGCGTTCGGTGATTACCATATCGCATTGTCCATACGCCCAACTTTTGAGCGATGAGGCGTAACGATTGCGACGTGTCGGCAGCCAGTACGACAGAAATGTAAGCCTCAACTGTTCAACTATACACAATGAGCTTTCCCTGAGTTAAGTGGAGTTTAATATCGATCGTCTACCCTGCGAAAGAAACGCCGCATGATGCACAGAGAAGTTGATTAAATTTCGTGAAAAATTTTCTCTTACGTTCGTTTTTTATCAATGTAGATTAACTTTAATCTCGGCTTAACTTTATCTTTTTTTTTCTAATTCTTATACACTCTCATTTCTATCATGCATATTAACTTTAATCCCGATTTAAATTATTTTATTTTAATTGTAATAAGAATTAAAATTAAAAAAATCTACATGGATAGAAATGAATATTAGAATTAGGAAAAGATTAGGAAAAGTAAATTAAACCGAGATTAAAATTAATCTGCGTTGATAGAAGTGGACCTAATTCTCTCAAATCAAATTGTTAATTAACTTTTAATATAATCATTTAGAAAGCAAACGCAATTGATAGCAATCGTTTGTAAAGTAATAAGAAAAAATTTTTTTTTAGAGAAAATTCTTTCAGATATGCAAAAGTAATAATTATTGATGAATTTAATTTGATTTGTCATCATGCGGATTTAAGAGGAATAACTTTGGAGTGACATTTCGAATATTTATGAGAAATGAAGAAACAAAAATAATATCTTTTCTGACCTGCATATCGCGGGGAATCGTGAATGATAAACTATCGTCGTCTATAATTATCTCCTGTAATTATCAACGTAATCCTATGCCGATCTTGTTTCGAGTGCAGAAAGTGTAACGTGGTGCAGCTACAAAATACAGATCTTGCCACCCTCGTTCCCTGTAATAAATTGGGCATTCATCGAGCGACAGGTTATGTCACGTCGTGATCGCGCTGCCATGTATGTACACGCGTACATCGATGTAAATTAGTAAATTAGGAAATTACTCTCTCTAATGTTAAGGTGGAACCGAGCGAGTCTCATATCGCCCGACGTGTCGACCGACTGGGAACGTGTCTGTCGAAAGATACGGGACAACACGTAGAAAGGTACTGTATCCCTGCGGAGATATTCTGCGGAGAATTCTTTTCGTGCAATTAGCCCGCGATCTGTCACGTTGTGTGCCGCATATTATAAAATGACATCTGCCGCGGTGTTATCTCCTTAAGTGAATTTTTCTCGTGCGAGATCGAAATCGCGCAGCTTCTGCGACAAGTGCGGTGAATTCTTTTTTTTTTTTTCTTTTTTTTTCTTTTGTTTCTTTCACCTTTACGTAGTATCCAGATTATGCGAGTTCTACGGAAGATCCAGCGGTCTTTTCTCGTTTTATCTAAAATTTATATATGAATCTTGATAGGAAGTAAGTTTTATATTTATTTTTTTCTGACAAGATTATATGAAAAAATGTCGCAAGAGGTCAAAAGTTTCAATCAGCGATTATTTCTGTTAATTTTGAGATTATTTTGTTATTATCATGATTTGATTATTTAATTTTGAAAAATTATTGATTTTTATCAAAAGCAATCAAATCTGGCAAAATATTTTGCCTAATAAATTTTGCGATTGTATTTTCTTTCCTAAAAATAAATATAGCAGGTTTTTATATATTATTAAAATTAATGTGCATAATATTAAAATATTATATTTAATATATACTTTAATTTAGATTCCATAATTGCAGGAAAAGAAAAACAGCTAAGTTCTAATGTTCTCATGTTATCAAAAACACAAAATGGAGCAGCTAGATATAACAGGAATTGTACTGAGATTGTGCCTATTCAATGTCCTAATGATAGACTGGGGCAGCGCAGCTGCGGTAGCTCATAAGGATTCAAGTCTGATTAGCTTAGCCGATCAAGGCTTATATAATGCCAGCGACGATGTAGTGATTCTCAATGCCACAAATTTCAAAGCTAATGTTTATAGAAGCAATAGGAGCTGGTTGGTCGAATTTTACAACAGCTGGTGTGGCTTTTGCTTTAGATTTGCACCAACGTGGAAAGCTCTGGCGAGTGATATTTTATGTAAGTTATTTATATAAATTATAGAAAACACTATATGTAATCATTTATTTAAATTGCGAAGATCTAAAAGTTTTCTGAAGAAATTAATTCAGCTAGAAAGTAATATATTGATGATATTCATTTATTTTTGATGCAGATATATTATAAATAAAAACGTTAATATTTTAGCTTGGAACGATATTGTCGTCGTTGCGGCCATAGATTGCGCCGATGATGATAACAATCCAATCTGTCGCGAATATGAAATTATGCATTACCCAATGTTGAAATATTTCTCTATAAATGCGCGTCCACCGTCCTTGGGTATAGTAATAGAAAAGGGGGACAGTGTCGCCTCGTTGAGACATAATTTAATCGACAGGCTCGAAATGGAACAACAGGAAGGACGAGGATCTACGTGGCCTAACATTGCACCGTACAGGTACATCAAAATGAATTTCCCACGGTCACTTCCTACTTCTTCATTATGACTCAGCAGAAAATTTATTTTTATTCTTTGAAGTCATACATAATCCTATATTTTTTTTAAAAGTCATAATTCACAATTTAGTGATCATGCTATAAAATTTATTAGACATCTTAATTGTTAATGAACTATTATTAAAAAAAAATATCATTTATCCATATCTTATTTTTGTATTACAAAAAATAGTGTGATACATCTTGATTTGTAGGAATGTCGAGACAACAGATATATGGAAAACAGCGTCCAACAATGTACAATATTTCTTCCTGATTTTCGAGACTACGGACTCACACTTGGGCACGGAAGTCATTCTTGATCTCCATAAAATCAGCAGCTTGCAGATACGCAGAGTGACTTCCGACAATCAACTGCTGTGTGTGATGAACAAAGTTACCAAATTCCCAACTTTAATAGTCTTCGGCCGCAATGAATCGCAGAAGGTTGTCAGCATGAAGATACCAACGAGGCAAGGAGTTCGGCAAGCTATTAAAAATTACGCGATCGTGAAAGGAGTGAATATCGATGAAGTGGGCACAACGATGTCTCACGAACAGAGTGTGGAGAACACGCCTCGAATAACCATGACGATTGTAAAAAGTCACGAGGTGGTGGAGGACCAACTACCATCGTCGAAAAAAGTTGACGATTATTTATATCAACTTGATCTGGAGAGCACTCTACATTATTCGATCAATCATGAAATATCCCTGATGAAGTCGATAGACGGCGAGAAAATGGAGGCATTGCGGAAATATCTCGCGGTGCTGGCAGTGTACTTCCCTCTACGTCGTAATAATGCTTATCTGGAGGTAATACGCGATGTCGTCGAGAGCAAAAGCTCAATGACCGGTGAGGAATTCAGCCAACTGGCAAAGACGACAGAGGAAGAGATGTCGCCGGTGTACTCGGGGATGCCCCGTCGGTGGATAGGATGCAAAGGCAGTACGGATTCGTATCGCGGATATCCTTGTGGATTATGGACCATGTTTCACATGTTGACCGTGAACTTCGCGCTAGAACGCAACAAGGACGTTTCTCAGGTTCTCTCGCAGGATCCTGCAGCGGTACTACGAGCGATGCACGGCTACATCGGGACTTTCTTCGGTTGCGCTGATTGCGCCGCACATTTCGTGGAGATGGCTAGCAAGAACAAGATATTTGACGTGCACAGCAAGGACGAAGCTGTCCTCTGGTTGTGGCGGGCGCACAATCAAGTGAACGCTCGATTATCAGGTGACAACACGGAAGATCCTCAGCACAAGAAGATACAATATCCCGCGGTCGAACACTGTCCAACATGCAGATTCGTGAACAATAGCTGGAATGAAGAAGAAGTCTTACAATACTTGAAAATGAAATATAGTTACAACAGCATCAAGTATGACGGGATCAGCAATTCCAACAATGATGTAGGTATGATCAATGGCAACGGTTCGAGAGTGAGGCCGGAAAGACTCGCCAAAGAGACAAAGCGCATCACCGCTTTCGGTTGGGATTTGAATATATTCGACATCAGTATCTGCGTAGTGCTGTACATCACTTCGGCCGCGATACTCGTGTTGGTATGCATCAAGTTCGCCGTTAAAAGGACATATAAAAAGAAAGCCCACATTAATCTACTACCCAAAGTATAATTCTTTTTCTTATACTTTGCGTAACATTCCCAAACCAGCAAACATCACTCAGGCACGTTCCAATTGAGAGAACAAGTCTCAAATTTTTAGTAATGGAGAATAATAAGACTAAAGTCAGCGCTGTAAATGGTGCACAATTATATATTTAATTTTAACTATGTTTATTAATAAAAATTAGATATTTTTTGCGTTAAGTCGATCTTGCCAGTAATGAAATAACAGTATCCAATAAATCAAAATGATTCAAAATGAACGTAAACCGCTAAAGAATATACTCAAGTCCATACAAATATAAAAATATTTAACGGAATCAAATAATTCTTTCGCAGATTATATTAATTAAAATTTTTCTATTGGCGAAAACAGCATGCATTTTACACTAATTATTCTCAAAGTGGGGATCAACGACGATATATTCTTTTGCGAGTTTTAAATAAATATTGAATTACTAAGTAATTATAAAATTTTTTTATCAAATTATAAACAAGCGATTCCACTTTATGATGTTGCCTTAAACTCGTCCAAAGAATATATCTTATTAATGACTTCTACGTTAGGTTTGCGTAAAAGATATAGAAATATAGATGTATTAGATTGTATAATGATAAAACGAGTTAAGATACATTCATAGAATATTCTCGATTATTTAATATTTACATGCAAAATATCTTCACATCGCTATGATGAAATAGACAGAAATTACGCATTTATAATCATGGAACACCATATATCATCAAAAAAAATATAATATATAAGTGTTTAGCTTTTTTTCACTCGATGGCAAATGCAGTGTGACTGAAATGATTCTCTGTCGGATTATTATATTATTATTCAATATTTCAATACGTTGTATTGAAAATCCTAAACGTATAGAGTTAGTAATATTAACCAATTATCGCAAGACATTAATGATTGAAAGACAATGTTATTCTATTATTTTGTTCTTTCATGCTTCCTGAAATGTTCGTGTACGCCTTCTTTCTACGTATTTTATATAGTTGTTCTTTTATATGAAAAATTTTGTACCATTTAGGGTACCGGCAGGTGTTCAAATTAAAGAAATGGTAATTGTTGATATATTTAATTAAATATTAAGGAAACGAAATGTCAAATTATATATAAATTAGTTTCTGACTGGCATACTATAATTGCATTTGAATATAACCAGGGTTCATTATAAAAGATAAAAGGTTGTGATCTTCAAGTCGCAAATGTCTATATGAACATTAATCTTTTATGGATATTTAATTTGTAAATAGATACCCAAAAGAAATTACTTCTTTTTTACTAATCTTGTATATTACAATTGTCCTTACACACACACACACACACACACATATATATATATATATATATATATATATATATATATATATATATATATATATATATATATATATATATATATACAGTTTTCTAATAAATATACAATATATAATTAATGTACAATTAAATATTTGGTTCAATTATGATAATTATTAATTATTAATTCACTTCCTAAAATAAAAGAATCAAATTTTTTTCTAAAGAATAAAATATTAAATTACAAAAATCAGAAAAAACTTTCAGTTTTTAAAAGTGTAAAAACCACAGCTTTATAAAAATACAGAATATTATTAAATCATAAAATATGTATATGTAAAAATAATAAGAAAAAAATTATTAAATATTGTATTGAATTTTTACAAGATTGTCAGCTTTTAGTAGTATTTTGTTGCTATAAATATTAATATAATTATAAACATTGTGCCAAACATATATACAATGATTTGTACATATAATGGAATAAAATAATGTAAGATACAAATTCTGTTTATAACAATTATACAAATAATATATTTTGAAGTATAATAGATCATAAATGAAATAATTGAATTAGAGCATCCTTTACAAAATATTTTATAAAAAGTATAGTCTTTCTAACTAATGAATTAATGTTTTTTTGTTTTGGTCATCAAGATATCTTCAATATTTTCAACACAAACAAACACTTGCTTTTAGTACATCATATAATACATAGTTCGATAGAAATCACAATAATTAATAAAAGTAATTCAATCTTTTTTCGAACACAAATGATGCCATGAAACTCCATCATGAGGTAACTTGGATTCTACATAAAAAAGCAACCACGCCAGATACCATCGTTCTCCAAACACTTCTCGAATATTATCTTTCCATCCTACATCATACGTAAAATCTTTCTTATTGCTCTCATTACCCACAACACCCCTGAGAATCAAATTGAAGTGATAAATGCACAAAACTCCAGTGTATAAAGTGCCCACTGCCGACACAACATACAGCAACAAGTAGAACTGATCCATGGAGCTGTCGAAGCCAAAAAAGAAGATCGCCACGGGAAAGACCATCTTGATGACAGACATTGGAAACTCAAAAGGCATCCTACTCCAGATGAACAGACTGCCGTAGTAGAAGGCATACGTTGCACCAAGGAACAGGTACCACAGAAACATGATGAAATATCTGTGATTGTAGTAGCCCACGCAGCAGCCGGTGAACACGCAGTGGTGGTCGCGTTTAAGGATGCAGATGTCGCAGGTGTTGCAGTGCCACGAACGCGGTGGCGACATGCACTCGCAGGTCGCGCACAGCCTCCAGCCATCGGCTATCTTCGCGGTGCTCATGGGCACGATGCGTCCACCGATGCTAGTGTCGCACAGCACTGTATACGTGAAATTACCTACGATATTCAATAGAATAAAACTGCCGAGAATAAAGTGAAATGTATATGCCAAGTTCTTATTCTCGTACAATGCCGGTAGTATTATCCATAGTCCGAACCAGTACATCAGAGGCACTACGACCAGCACGAAGATCATCGACAGTAGATCGCCGATGGTCCGCGGCCACACCTTTTTCCGGGCTATCATCGTAGGCACGTTCGCTTCTTCCGATTTACATTAATTTCGATTATTTTTTCTGTTCTTTCGCTCTTATCATTGTCACTTTGCTATCTCTTTATCCCTAATGTTTACGTTGGCTGCCATTTTGAAAATGCGCCATCACGTGGAAAGCTGGCGTATTACCTCCCCGCCCCTTCCCCTTCACATCTTCACATCGATTTTTCGCTAAAATGGCTGTATTTGAAGAGAGAAAAAGAGAAGGAATAAAAAAGATTCAGCTGCAAACCTGTTATGAAAATATGAATATTTTGAACATGTATTATAAAGTATTTTAAGTGTATTAATTCACGTTGACTACAAAAAAAATTATGATTACATTTATCATCGAGTATCGTCGAAGGAGAAATGTAGTATGACGTTGGTTTAATTTTAAGATTGGAATTCACATGCCAAAGATAAAGGTGAATTGCCAAACAGATATTGTAAAACTTGGCACTTTTTATTCGAAATGCACAGGTAGTGTATTTCATACAATTCCACTTTAGAATTATATGTAACGTTTTGAAATTATGAGAATAATTGAAATTATTTCTAACCTCTAATTTTAATTATTTATAACTTATATATAAATTATTTGCTATAATTAAATTGATATAATTTATTATTTTACATTGAAGTGTAAAAATATTTTAGTCATGCCCTCTTTTTGGCAAAATCGGCATTGCCATGGAAATATGATTCTTTCAAGTGGACTTCATGGCGCATGTTTAAAACACGAGCAAGCCATAAAACCAAAGAATTTGAAGGTCGCAAATTAGTAGGGTAATGAAAATTCAAAATATCTAAGAAAATGAATATTTGATAATATATTTTTTAAATTTACTATTTTGATGTATTTAATGTATGATGTATGAATTATAAATTATATATTTTTAATGCAGACTATACCATTTAATAAAATTTCTATTTTTAGATTTTCAATGGAGAAAATGTACCATGTGGTTGCCGATGTGGAAAACTACAAATATTTTCTACCTTTTTGTAAAAAATCTGAAATTACTTTGAAAACCAAAGACTTTCTAAAAGCCAATTTAGTAATTGGGTTTCCACCTATAAATGAAAGTTATACTTCAAAAGTGACTATGGTATATCCAAGAATAGTTAAAGCCGAATGTAAGGATGGCAGATTGTTTGATCATTTGGATACCCTGTGGCTGTTTAGCCCTGGATTGAAAAATAATCCTGAAACATGTGTGATTGACTTCTCCTTATCCTTTGAGTTTAAATCTGTCATTTATTCTCAATTGTCAAATTTATTTTTCAACGAGATTGTACGACAAATGGAGAACGCCTTCCTCGAAGAAGCCAAAAGAAGGTATGGTCAGCCATGTTTAAGGACAGTACAACTCCAAAGATGATATTTATGAATGAAAATTATTGCATATAGATTTTTATGGTTTAATAAATTTATTGTTATCCACATTCGTATAACATCTGCGTGTTATATCACAGTTGTATATTCTCAGGATATTCACGCGGTATATCATTTTCTTATATTGAGATACTCGAAAGATCGCATTCCTGCGCGCGTGAAGGAAAAACTACATATTTTTTATAAAAATGCAAACATTTTATTTATAAACGGAATATGAGAGCACAGCAAAAAAATTACAAAATTAGAATGGTTTTGTCATAATGTCTTGTCGTCAATAACTGTTTTTTTTTTATAATGACAATCCCGCAGTAAAAGGGAGTTTAAACAAAAAAAACACAAGATTTAACAAAGATTCAAATATTTGCAAATGTTAATTTACAAAATATAAAAAAAATGTATAAATTTAATCATGTGAATAATTTTCTTATATAAATATCGGTAATTATATTCTTTAGATTAGATTGCGCGATTGGTTGACTTTTGTATCATGTTTTTCTATCACGTTATGCAAATCCATTTGAAAAAAAACCCTAGAGCGAAAAAACCTAGAATTGACCAGTAAGGAAGAGGAAAACTTTATTTATATTTGCTTTGATTGGTCAAATCTTATGTAAACTTAAATAATTTCAATCTTCGATGCATATTCTAATTCTCTTTAAATCATCGAAAATTGTTCGATCGTACCGTAATTACAACTTGTATCGATAATCGATGAATCGCGGTTGGTATACTTGCGGCAAAGTTCAATACATTTCATTTTTCCTTCGAAACACAATTTACATATACAAAGTTCTAGACATTTTGCGCATCGGAAATACAATGTTGACGCGCGAAAATTCTCTACATTAGGGCTCTCGTATCGCGACCGTAGGTCGGTCGAGTCCGAAAAGTAGACTTTCATCCGTGTGCCCAAGGCCGCGATACATCAGAGCAGCGCCGAGTGCCACAGACTCGAGTTGCGCGCGTCGAAGGTGTACGTTAAAAAGGTGTACGGCTAAAGTCATCTCGCGTCGCACGGAATACGTGCATGTACATACGCGCGTCGCTCCATTCCACGAAACGTGTGCGGAATAAAGGCGAGCCATGCGCGCCAGCCGTGGCGATGCACCGTCGGAATAGCAATGAACTGCGCAACGGGCGATAGGTGTGGCGCGTGAAAAAGGAAGGAAAACGCGCGTCACCGCGAGTGCCGCGAGTCACCGAACCGAGAGAGAGAAAGAGAAGACGAAAAAAAGGAGAGCGGCGTGGTGAACACGTGTGCGTTCCGGAGAGAATGAAGACGTTTGGCGAGACAACACGACATCGTTCCCCGACGTGAACAGTCTCGAAGTGGCTCTCGCATTTTAATCCTCGTGTAGGTGTCTCCCGCGGAGCCTGACGTCCCGTCGGCCCTTCGCGCGCGCGCGCGCGAATACCAGTGGCGCGTGGTGCGATCTCGAGAGCGCGTTGTGCCTGCGCCTATGCGTCTTCATTCGTCGCGCGCTGTCTACGTAGTAGCGGCAGTGAAGGGGGTACAACGACGCCGGCGGGAGCGACGGCGGCGACGACGACGACGACAGTGGTGGTAGTGGTGGTGGAGAAGGAGGAGGAGGAGGTGTTTGGGAGGGACACGAGGTGTCAAGGGGGTTTCATACGCCACGAGCGAGAGAGTGAGGTTAGCTTGTGTGTGCGTCGCGCTCATTTTCTCTCCCTCTCTTCCGCTCGCTCGCTCACGCGCGCTCTTTCTCTCACGTGTCTCCATCTCGCGCGCGTGGGGCCGTCGCGCTCGTTGTGTCTCTCGCGCGCCCGTTTGTCCATTCGCTCGCTTGCTCGCTCGCTCGCTCGCTCGCTCATCTACTCGCCTGCTCGCCCGCCCGCCCGCTCGCCCGTCCACCCGTCCGTCGGCTGGCGCGCGCGCGCGCGCGTTAACGGAATTCGCGATTGAGCACGCAGGGACCACCGACTAATGTTTAAATGGACGCATCGTCCATTATCACCCAAGTATCGCGGGATGACGAGCTAGGCGCGTTCAACAGCGAGAAAGGTGCGTATCGTGTAAATAGACCCGCGCCACCCTACTCTCTCCCTCCCTCCTTCCCTCCCCCTTGCCCGCAATGCTCACCGCCAGATGCTGCCGGGATTTTGTTCTCCCGCACCTGTTACGGTACCCGTAGCCGTGTTTCTCTCCTTGTTCTATGTTGCCCAACTTCATCTTTCCTCCTGTCTCCTATTGCGAGCAACTTCTCGCGTGTCTCCTGTGCTATTCTCCTGTGCCATTCCCCTCTCTCCCTCTACTACTCCACATTTGTATCGCTGTCCCTTTTAAATCCTTATCGTCCCATGTCGTGTGCGTCTTCCGAGTGATGCCGTGAATTTTCTCATTTCCTTGGGCTATGTCATGCCCTTTAACCTTTCGTATGCCTTTCACGAGACGTTCCCTAAGGGCAAACTGTAAAGAAGACAGCACAAAAAATTCACTGTAAAAGGTTAATTGTAGCAAATCTCTTTCATGATGTACATATGTACAAGGTGCAACTGCTTATTTTGATGTAGAGACTGTTCTTCCATTTGACAAGATGATTTTGTTAATTAAGCTTAAAGACTAAATGTATCAGATCAGATTTTGAATTTGTTAAATGATTGTTTTTAATCAGCAAAATTTAAATAAATATCTCAAAAATTGTGTGTGTGTGTGTATATATATATATATATATGTGTGTGTGTGTGTGTGTGTGTGTGTGTGTGTGTGTGTGTGTGTGTGTGTGTGTGTGTGTGTGTGTGTGTGTGTGTGTGATATACACACATACCCATACATGGTTTTTTTAATATTATAGAAGTTTGACATACATCTTCTAAAACTATAAATATTAATAACTGCTTTCTAAATACTTTCACCAACTTTTGATCCAATATATATGTATATCAAATATGAGATCCAGAATCTGTTTAGAATATGTAATTTAAGAAAACAAAAGTATTATGCAAACCTTAATTTTTTTCTAATTTAACATTTGTATATCATTGATATCTGATAATTGATTCTCATTTTTTTTCATACATTGCAGCCCAGTTACCTCGAGAAAATGAAGCAGCCAATAATAGTTCATCGAGTGGCAAGAAGCCGAGGGGACGCGGGCTCTTGCGCACACTGCTCTGCTGCTTTGGAAGAGGTCGCGGTGGCAGCTCAAAGAGCTCCAAGGCGAGTTCTCTACAGGGTGATGGCCGTGGCTCGCCACCACCTGGCACCGGATCCCCAAGGTTCCTCCTACCGCCGGTCAGGCATCAAGACATGCACAAGAAGTGCATGGTAATTGATTTGGACGAGACTCTGGTGCATAGTTCTTTCAAACCAATCAACAATGCGGACTTTGTTGTTCCTGTAGAGATTGATGGAACAGTACATCAAGTGTACGTCTTAAAGAGGCCTTATGTGGATGAGTTTTTGCAGAGAATGGGTGAACTATACGAATGTGTATTGTTCACTGCAAGCTTGGCTAAGGTATGTTTATATATATATATAAAAAAAACCAGTAGAACGTGATTATTTTGTGCTCTTTATAAATATGAATAAATTTAGTTAAATTACTACATATTAGTGTAGTTATAAATATTCTTGCAATAATTTACTATTTATAATAGATATTTTATTACTTTTCTTATGCGAAATTTAATTTGCAACAATTTTTTATTTTTCAAATTTATTAGTGAAAGAATGCAATAGATTTAAAATATCGCATAATATATAAATTATATTATTTATAAGTTATGTTCTCATAAAAAATTATCTTGCTAGATATAATTTATCCCTATTTAGAAATTATTATTAATAGATAACTATAATAGTTTGAATAATATTAACATTTGCTGCCAGAACTATATCGAATTAATTTAGAATAAATTTTGAATGAAAATTTGAATGAAAATTTTGAATGATTGAACAAATTATTTAATTAAATGATATTTACAGTATGCAGACCCAGTGGCAGATCTATTAGATCGATGGGGTGTATTCAGAGCAAGATTATTCAGAGAATCCTGTGTGTTCCATAGAGGGAATTATGTTAAGGATTTGAACAAATTAGGTCGGGATTTGCAGCAGATCATTATTGTAGATAATAGTCCTGCCAGTTACATTTTCCATCCAGATAACGCGGTAAGATATACTTACATGAAAAAAACTAATTTACTTTGATAAAATAAAAATTGCATAATTGCTTTCGTTTTTGTGATCAAATTACAATAAGGCACATATCTCAGATAATTAATAATAAAAATAATATTTAATTTTCTTATAGGTTCCAGTGGCATCCTGGTTCGATGACATGACGGATTCCGAGCTACTGGATCTAATCCCATTTTTTGAAAAACTCAGCAACGTAGAGAATATCTATACTGTGCTGTGTAATAGCAATCATCCTTATAATCAGATACCCGCACAGGCGGTGCAGAGCAATCAGAGCCCGCCGGGTTCAGGTTCGCTAGCTGCTTCCTAGCCCCACCTGAATCCTGGCAACGCAGCCAGTCTTGTCGCTCAATGCACCTTCCGGAGGATCCTGAGGGGGCTGCTCCATATGACCCACTCGCTATGTGGCGAAGGACCTCGAAGTACTCCCCCTCGTTGATCTTTGGAAGAACTGCTCCGATCAGTGGAGCCAAATGTCTTATACCTTAAAAGCGCGTCACTCTAAGTCGACATACAGTCATAGCTGCTGGTATCCTTCTTCCTGATGAGCAACGCAACGAAGACTGAGTCAGCTTCGAAGCGCGAGTGTTCTTCCATTTTGCACCAAGCGTCAAAAATGACGAACTGTATCGACCCTGTCCGCGTGGGCAGACTGAAAATATGCCTGTACTCGAGAAAAGAACCTAGCGAAGGATGGAACCAGGAATCTCTGTCAAGCAGAAACTGTTTACAAGAAAGTTGATCGATTGCGAAAAAAAGAGAGCGATGATGGGGATGACAAACGATAGTGATTATATATTAAAAAGATGTGAGGATATAGGAAATAGAGAGAAACTATGAAGAGAGGAAAAGAAAAGAGATCGCTCCGAGTCGTTTGATGGGCCATGCTGTTGCCGTTTAGTTTTTCTATTTGAGCTAAAACATTGCGAGCTTTGTTCATTTAGAATCGATTACAGAGAAGACATCGATGCTCTGACTACGTTTGTGAATGCTTCTGATCCATCTTACAGGATGCGTTGAAAAAAAGGAGGGTAACAGTAGCAGGTAGAATTTGAAATGTATATTTTACTTATGTTAAAAATTTAACATGGGAAAATTTTATTTTAACTATTATTTTAGTTATTTAAAATAATATTGTAGAAAAAATTTGAGATGCTTTAGAGTTTAGTACCAAAGCGTCATAGGTTTTAAAATGCATAGGTACAAAGATTGAGATAAATGTCTCAAGGATCATAGATGCTAATATATATAAATATCTAAAAAACCGAAAGAATTTGAAATTTTAAATATAATAAAAAATTTCTAAAATTTTGAAGAGATACTACAAATAGAAGTCATAGAAGTCTAGAAATCTGTTCTTAAAAAATTTTTGCTTCATGATCTTGTTCTAATTGTACGAGAAGTTTTGAAACATGCAAGTTTGATCTCAATAAAGTCCAAAAAAGATATTTTACGAATATTCAAAGTTAAAAGAGGCTTAAATTTATAAGAACATGTATTGTCAGTGGTAGAATATTCGCTTCACACTGCCGAGGAATAGGAATTTTCTGAATTTTCTTCCATTAAATAAATTTTTACCTTTTTTTATAAATTGCTTGGATAAATATATTGTAAAAAATATCTTTAAAAATTTTTATCATGGAATTGATGTTCTAACGTCTTTTATTACAAAACATTTTACAAAATTGCAATTTTCCAAAAATTTATATGCAAATTAAGCATTTCATTAATATTGCATTTGAGTATTGCGTTAGATATTTCCTGCTGCTGGTGCACGCCTTTTATCGGACGCTCTGTATGTAGCATTTAAAACGATGACATTGAAATTTGGCAGGGTACGTACTAGTATTTTTTTTTTATCAATTCTCCAATATCTATGAACATTTCCATTTCTACTTCATTTATCAGTCTTATTGTTAAGTAAATAACTGTACTTCTTTCTGATATATTTATTAGAATAAAATACTACAATTAGATTCATGTATTTGTTAATATATGAATTTACTATTTGCTTTCATCCAGCAGCAAAGATCTTTTTTAATGCTTGCTAAAAAATTTTAGAACATTTAAAATAATGATAAAAAGGGATTTTTTTAAATTAATAAAATTAAATTTATTGAGGAATCATAATTAATATAAGTTTGCAGAAAACTTAAATCATAAATAATAAATTAAATAAATTGTTTTCCTGAGAGAAAAGGAGAAGAGAAAAATAAATTAAGTAATTGAGAATAATCATAAATCATATATTGTTGCCAATATCGATAAACTGAAAGCTGGGCCAATGCATATCATTCTTTCCCTCCAAGTTATGAAGTTGCATCATATCTGTTTATTCGTTTTTTGGAGC